GTAGTAGTAACTAGTAGTAGCAGTAGAAGCAGTAGTGGTAGAAGCAGCAGCAGCAGCAGGAGGAGGAGTTTTCAAAAAGCCCACACGGAATTGGTTAAATTTCCAAGGCTTGATCTGACCACAACATTCCACGAAATCCGCAGAAAGGTAGGCCTTTGGGACCGTCGACTGCTTGCAAAGTGCTGAGCCCAGCGGCTGCGCGCATGAAAACACTGGCATGTCTCCCAGCACAAGCCCCCGGATGAAGGCTTGCGGCTCGATACCCTAAACCCTGAACGCCCAGTGGAACTGCAGCTCTAGATTCCCTACAACTTCCAAGCCTGAAGCAACGAGACACTGAACCCAACGCTTCAAGTCGCCATCTTCGGCCCCTGTGAAGCCTCACTTTGATGCTCAAACGGGCCTACATTCCAAGCCCTACGTAACTTCGAACGCCTCGTGCAGTTCCAGCAGCCACTCACTAACACTGAAAATGCCTGAAAGTCGGCGCCCCAAGCCCGGATAAACTTTAAACCTGACGCACTTTTGTTTACACAGAAGCCTTCACTCCTACATGCCAAACCCACAAGCCCAAATCCCACACTCTGGACCCTGTAACCCCAAATCCAACAACCCAGCACCAAACCCAATCAGCCCGAAAGCCAAGTCAAAACTTGAATCCACTAAAACCCTTACAAGCGCGACGCAAGCCCTCAAACCCAGGATGCTTAGAACTAGGAAAGCCCTGAAGCCTTTCAACACACACCAACTCCAACCACGCAATCTCCATTGAAAACCTCCATGAACATGTGTTTTGTATAATTATACGTATGTATATATATATATACATATATACACACCCACACGCGCACATGTGTGCGCGCACGTGTGTGTGTGTGTGTGTATATATATATGCGCGTGGTCGTACGTATATGCATGTGTATGATTCGGAAAGCCCTGAACCCATCCAAGCAGACAGACAGAAAGACCGACAAACATACATACATCTGCATCTACATTTCAATGCAGATACAACATAGTTATATATATATATATAGATAGTATGCATGTGTACGTATATGTATATGTATGGCCATTCCTTGAAGGGTTTTTAGTAGTGTCAAAGGCTTACGTCATTGGCTCATTAATACTTGTGTTAATTCATTAACTGTCTAATTCATGAATAAATGTCGAACTCATCAAGTAGGTAGATGTAGTTATGTTTTTCATTTCTAAAAGACAAACAGTCAACCCATCAATATACTAATTAATGGGTCACGTACTTCATTCGTATTTACATGAGCCTATATCCTAAACCCTAAACCAACTCAAGACCCGTAGCGCTCCCTAAACCCAAACCCTAAACCCTAAACCCTAAACCCTAAACCCTAAAAGACAGAACTCTCTCTCTGGGGGCTCAGGTCCTGAGGAAGGTCTCGAAGTGCTTGAACAAGCAGAAATACCTCGGGCTCTACCGTTTTTTAGAGCTTTATGGAATCTTCTTGTGTCTTATATGACCCTAACCCTATGGGCCCTAAAACACATAAAGGGCTTACTGAAGTCTGCAGTAAACACAGAGGAAAGGCCGGAGGATTTCTTTGTGCTGGACTTCTCTGAGGCTCTACACTAAGGATGTCAGGATAGGGATGTTCTCTTTGGCTTCCACTTTAGGGGTTGTGCGGGCGGGGTAGGGTTTAGACTCTCAGTGCCGACTAAGCATGGATGACGGACGTGTCAGGATTGAGGGGACACCTGAGACTTTTGCCCGGATCTTGAAGGCTGGGTGTGCTATCGAACGCATCCCAAACATGCAAAAGCGGCAAGCACGATTGCGAGTCTCATGTGACTCATTGCTGGCCAATCGAAACTCGGGAGCGCGGCATTCGATCGTGGGGAGTGGGGTGCTGGTGGACAAGGAACAAAGCCAAATGCATCCTTTTGTTGCTGGCCCAGGCCACCTGTCTGCCACATTCTGCTGCAAAATCAAGTTGCGATGTCTTTACGCACTTTTCAAGCGCAAGCTTTCAGAAGGATTGCCCGCACAACGTCGTAATAAGAATCCAACAACAACCTGAACCCAGCTTGCGATTGGAATCCAACACCAGGATCGGCACAGAAACTTATCCATATGTATGATATATGCATATATATATATATATACATGTATATGTGTGTGTATACACATGGGTATATGGGTGTTATCCGATATTCCTTCTGCCAGAAACAACCCCTCCCGCGCCGCTTTCGCGCAGCTTCCGCGCTCTTTCGCGCACGAGGAAAATGCA